CTTTTTGTACGGCCCGCGAGCTAAGAACGGATTTTACCTATTTAAATTATTTGAAATTTCAAAATACGCGCTATAACGAAACGGCCGAGTTGAGTAGTTGAGAGAAAGAATTCTATAAATGTCTTCCAAGCGATGAATACGGTCAATTAAGATCATATATCTGTATTTGGCAGCGCCTACCTGTGTGAAAAGACATTTTCAAAGATAAAATATGTAAAATCTCAATACAGGTCAGCATTAAGGATGAACATTTACAATCAATTTTGGTGATAGGGAGTACTGAATTTAAACCTCAGTTTGGTGAAATGGCATCTCATAAACACGCAATTCCATTCTTCTCATTAGTAGAGCTCTATTTCAAACAATTGTAGTCTACTTATTATTATTACGTTACATTTTGTTCAATAAATTTGTTAAAACTTGTTTTTTTCTTGTTACATAAGTAGGCTTACCTATACAAATATCCTCGAGTTTGCCTCTTGGCCCGCAGAGCCTAAAATATTTACTATTTGGCCCTTTAGAAAAAATGTTTTCCGACCCCTGAGCTAAACATTTATCATACTGAGTGCAAGACAATTTATGTCACTTACGTTTCACACATTCCGACTTCGATTCTTGCTGAATGTTTCTGTGAATACGTCGCTTGGGTGAGCCACTGCATTCCCTGGAAGATAAAACGATACCAGTAACAGGTATTATGAGCGTAAGCATATGTTCTAGTAAAACATGCGTCTTTTTCAAACACTTCACAATCCTCCTTTCAAGCAACCTATCTGCTGAAAGTAAGGATTGAAAAATTATGGCATAGCTTCTTCGGCATGATATTCATGCCGAGTTTTTACATATAAACCAGGGGTTCTCCAGACCTAGTGCCATGTTTACCCTTACTTAACTTACTTAACTCGCAGGATGCAAGATTATAAATGAGGGAAATTTATTTAAATTTCATGACAATTTATTAAACACCCAAACTGCCTTCCTAATAGTTTAACATATTTATTTAGTGTTCTGTCTGACGACAGGTCCATATGAACAGGATCCTTCCATCCTTTTCTCGGACTGGGACCTGTTCATGTACGTTCTTGGCAGATGATCCAGAAGTGGTTTGCCATTGCCTTCTTCTGTGTGTGAATGGAGTAATTGTTGGGATGCCACGGAGAAACCGG